GAACGCAGGGAGTTAGTGCTCAGCAAATATCCAGCCTCCCTTGCAGCTGGTGTGGGGCCATGTGACAGTTCCAACCAATGCACTGGAGCTGAAGTGATGTGTGTCACCTCCTGGCTGAAGCAGCTGAGCGTTAGTGTGCCTTTTCTTTCTCCATCTCTCTCTTGGCCTTCTGAGTAACCATGGATGCCACGTCACCCAGGAGGTGCAGCTACAAAGACGGTGGAGTCACCATTAGCCTGGGTCCCTGAGTAACTGCGTGGAGCAGAGATTCATGTTAGACAAGTAATGTGAGCGAGAATTAAAGCCACTGAGCGTTTAGTGTCATCTGCTGTGGCTGCTGGTGTGACTTAGCATAACAATGTTATTACTGCTATTATTCTGTTTTTCACAGATAAGGAAACCAAGGCCACAGAGCCAATAAATGGCAGAAACAAGAAGCAAGTTCACATCTGTGACTGCAACACGTATCCTCTTTCGATTACAACCTCTCATTGCTTAATAAGATCATTTCCCTTCCTGTAAGCAGCCTTATCCCCAAAAACTCCTACCTTTCAGTGTACCCGGGTAAACAATGTAGGATGAAAAAAGAGATGAGGCACTCTGAGACTAGAACACGAGCCAAAAAGTAGGGAGGAGGGGGCCTGATCACATCTCAGGGAAATCTTTCTTGAGGCTTTGGGGCTCACAGGAAGTTTTGCTAGGAGGGGAAATATCACAGAGTAGTTTCAAGCACAGAATGGAGAATCAGATCAACCTAGGATCAAATTCCAGTCCCACCATTTCTTCTCTTGATTTTTCTTAGCCCTACTTCCTAATCTGTAAAATGCGGACAATGGCTGAACCAACTTTGAGGGTGGAGGGAACTTGAAGCCTCGTCTAGCTCCTGGCCAATGGTGAGTGCTCCCAAAACGTCTGCCATCAGAAAGATCATCACTAGGATGGCTCAGAGCACCGGATGTGCTGGGCGGAGATGAGGCAGAGGCTGCCCAGCCAGGACGGCTGATACAGCCCAGACAGCAGACCTGGCCCGGCCCACATCCCTGCAACAGACCAAGGGGTAGGACACGGAGAGGGAAGCAGGGCCAGCCAGACATGGTGCAATGCAGCCAAGGAGCCAGATGATTTATTTTAAAGCCAAAAGTGTCTTCTAGGAGGACGGCCTTTTATTTGGGTGAATATGGGTGTTGTTTATTAGCTTAAACTCATTATCTGCACATATGGTCCTCGTACTATAGTTAAGGGTGGGAAACAAAGGATGGACGGGAAAGGACAGGCAAACACTAGCTGATGAAATGTCATCCCTCACGTGCCAGAAACCAGGGTATTTTCAGTGACGTCAAATTGGGCTCCCTGCCACAAGGATGGGGCTATCGTGAGAATACTCACAAGATTTTAACTCAGGAGTCCCTCAGTAAGGCAAGGAAAGGATGAAAACAAACAAACAAACAAAAAAGCAATTTGTTTCATTCACGCCTGTCTGCCATCTCAAAAGCAGACACACACACACACACACACACACACACCCCATGCCCCACAATATCAGAGCTGGAAAGGATCAGTGTTGATCTCCCCACTGCACAGCAGCGGTGACGATGATAGTGACGATGATAGTGACAATGATGGCAGTGAGTATTGCTGAACATTCTCTACCTGCTGGGCACTGGGCTAAGTGTTTCGCATGTTTTATCCTGTTGCAGTTTCACAACAATCTGATGGAGTATTATTAGCCCCATTTTACAGATCAGGAAACTGAGGCACCAGAGGTTGAATGGCCTAAGGTCACACAACTAATATGTAGGAGAAAGCCGACACTAAAACCCAGGAAGCCTAACCGTCTCGTGGTTAAAAAAAATAGGGAAACTGCAGCTCAGAGAGGGGCAGTGACTCACTTGAGGTCCCACATCTCCATCTGTGACAGAATTGGGGCTCCCTCCTCCTGGTCCAGCTGGTCTAGCAACCTTTCCACTCCATCCTGTTGCCAATCAGTATATACACACATGCATAACAACCAATGAACATGTTTTTGCCCATCTCCAAGTTGTTTAATTACTAATTAAACCAACAGTCTTGGATGCAGACAAGGGGCAAGAGTTGGACCTTACAATGACAAGTGCCGAGATGAAAGACCTGCTTTGCTGGCTGCAGACTCTGAGGCTCATCTCCCTCTCCCCTTCTTTTTAATAAGTGTTTCATTATCTACACACACACACACACACACACACGCACCACACCCCATCAGAGCGTTGATGCGCGTCCAAGGTGGCAGCCCGTGCAGCAGGAGGAGCCCGGGCTGGCAGGTTACTTAATGGCATCAGACTGCAGAAATACCCGATCAACCGATCATCTGCTCCGGGGGACTGAAGTGCTAGTTTCCAAGGTCCCCTCCCTCTGCTGTGTCCCAGCTGAGCACGAACAAATGTTCCTGATTTTCCTTCTCAATGGCTGATGAAATAGACCAGAAGAGCAGCCCTCTGGAAAGAGGGGTCCCTCAAAGGGGCAGCCCAGCCTTCACCATTTGCTCTTCCCAGGGAAGGGGAAGGAGTAAACGCTGGCTAGGCATCCAGAGAAAGATAATATGCAAGCTTATGGACAGAAATGGGGCTCCCAGCAGAAACTGGTCGCCAACATCAGCGTCTATCCATAAACTGCAGACCGATGGAGGACAGGCACCTGGCTCACTTTGCTGTGTAGGTGCGAAGCGGCGCAAGACAGCCAGGAGACGTGCCCTCCACTGGACAGAGGGCAGAGCGGGGCTGCCCAGCACCCTCAGACATTAGACTCTCCTGACTTTAAGTTGCAAGCAGCCCCCCCACCCTGCTAAAATCTCCAGGCCAACACCCTCATTTTATATGCTGAAAAAGCAGATTCAAGAGGGGAAGTTGCTGGCTATCAGCATCCCTCGGGGGCTCAATGCCATCTTCTCTACGGGGCTGGTTGGGTATGTAGGGGGTGTAGAGAGCAAGGATAGAACGCAGAGCTGCCAGCCCTCTGGGGTCCCGTGGCCCCTTGCTCATGCCCAGGTTCCAGGGGCGACACTGTTCTGGGCAGGCTTCCCTCAGCAGAAAAACAAGAGTCACTAAAAACAAAACAAAGAAAAACCAAAACAACTCCTCTTTGTTTTCTGGCCCCATGGAATGTCTTGAAGACAAATCCAGAGACAGAGGGCTTCTCCACCCTTTCCTCTGTCTCCTCCCTACTCGTCCTCTTCTATTCAAAATAAAAACCATGCTGATCTTTCTTTATGGCAATTTTGTCCTCGAGCAATTTGAGCGCATCCAACAAAAACATTTGCTGGGCTACACTGAAAGCAAGAGCCTCAACTCTTTTTCAGGGACCACCCCATTTCCATCACCTTTGCAGGGGACTCTGGGGACATGGGAGTGGGGAGGGGGTGCTGCCCAATGAGTGCACGTCTGCAGCCAAGAGAAAGAGGAAAACTTCCACTGGCCACTATGAGGCCACTGAGCGGTCTTGATTTGCTCATTGCTACTCACTTGGGGTGCAGGGAGGAGGGAGGGAATTAGAGAGAAAGATGAGGCCACAGTCCCTTGGATGTCCCTTCAATGTCGAACAGCCCTACACATGACAAAGATGATGCTCTTCATAGAGGCCAGCAGTCGTGTGGCTTCCCAAGGCCTCAGCACAGACGCACAGACTCAACACACCAGGGCCCTGAGGTCACACAAAGGGACACGTACCAGGTTTCCACCAATAATTGTGAAATGACAGAATGAATGTGGCCCCGAAGACCCCAGACACCAAGTGGAGGGGCTCTTGTTGACTAAGAAATTTACCACTTGAGCCTGGACTGCTAAAGACTTTAAGGGACTCCCATCACCCACACCTTGTTCCTCTCAGTTTATTTGTGCCCAGAAAGGAGATACACCCCAAGACTCTCATCCCACTCACATCAGATAGGGATCTGGCCAGATTCGTAGAACAAAGGTACAACTTTTACAAAAAGGGTGCATTCAGCTGTTGAGGTTTCAGACTTCCAAGAAACCTCAAAAAATTAATTCTCCCATCTACTTACTCCACACCAATTCGCTGTTAATATGAAGTTCCCCTCCTTTTTTGTTTTTCTGGGACTGAATTTTTTATTCACCCACACATCCTGCCAGCACCCCCCACAAAAAAACCAGTTCCTGACAGCCAAGCTTTTCAGTACATAGTTTAGCTGACTGTGGGCACTCCCGCCTCACTCTCCGACTCTTTGTCCCATTCCGGCTTGGATGGGGTACTCCTCAGAGCGGGCCCCCGCGTGTGTTGAGGGTTGATCTATGGTTGTCGGTCCCAGGTTTTGGCGCATTTGTCTCTCGAAGGAACTAGGCATCGCCTTTCTGCGAGTGGAAGGGCCAGAGAACGGCGCCCCCTGGCGGGAGACAACTCACCTCGATCCAGCCGGGACCCAAAGCCGGCGCGAAACCACCCGTGCCCGCCAGCCCTGCAAGCGGACTCTCACTACGCCCCCTAAATCTGGACGCGCTCGAGCTTCGGATCCACCGAGCACCCAACGGAGTCTCAGCTTCCCCAAACCGCACACACCGTACGGACTAAAGGGAGCCCTGAAGAAAAGCGTGGCGCCCCCGCCCCGCCCCACTTCCAGGAACCCCGAAGGCGGCCTGCCCTCAGTGCCCCTAATGGGCCCAGCAATCCTCCTGGCCCGGATCCCTCTCCTAATCCCTAGTCCCTACCTGTCCCCGTACAGAGTGGCATGGCGCGCATCCTCTCCCTCAGGGCGCAGCCCTAGCCAACACCCCAACCTTGTAACCACACCTGCTACCCCCGCCATTCTTCAGGCGCCCCTCACTCACCTGCCTGGAGCACCGACTGGCGCTGCACCTGTCCCTGGGGAAGCCCCTGGCCCTTGGCGGATTCGGGGCAGGAATGGGGGCGAGCACGTCTCCCCTGCCCTCTCCCCAGGCTAGTTTAAGTAGAACTTGGTTCCTGGGCTTCCCCAGGACCATCCTGGGATCCCCCCATTCTACTCCCAGCCTCACCGTGCCCAACAGTCGACCGAGGGGAGCGCGCTCGGATCCCCAAATCGTCCAGGGCGCGGCGGGGCGCACGAAAGGCACGGAGGTACAGAGCCCCTACCTTCCAGCGGTAGCGGCCAAACCCCGCGCCAACTCCCGCCAGCGGCCGCGGGGGAAACTTTCCCCGGGCGGAGAGGCGCGCTCGCAACTTTGCTCGGCGCCGGCTGCCTTCCCGGCGGTGGCGGCGGGCGGCGCGTCGGGGACCGGCTGGCGCGAGGGCGGCGGGGGGCGCTCGCTTTGGTGATCCGGGGCCGGGGGCTCG